ACGTTCCCCCATTGGACTTACGACAACTACCAGCGTATCAGCCCATAAACCCTTCAAGTGTCATGGAGATTCATCCATGGAAAGTGTACTGCGAGCTGAAAAAGACACCAGTTGGTAAAAGCTGTGGACCAGATGGAGTGTCCGCAAAGCTGATTCGTGAGTTCGCAGCAGAGTTGAGTTCACCCATATGTGACATCATAAACACTTCATATCAGGAAGGTAAAGTCCCGTCACAGTGGAAAAGATCTATTGTCGTTCCGGTCCCAAAGAAATCTCCTCCCACAATAGATCAACTGAGACCAATCTCCCTGACTGACCACTTTGCAAAATTGGCTGAACTCTTCATCTATCACCAACTACTAGCAGATATCGAACCTAACATTGACCCTCAACAGTATGGAAGTCGGAGAGGAAACTCCACTGCTCATTATCTCGTCAATCTTCTACATTTCCTCCACACCAATGCTGATCGGCTCCAAACTGTTTCCACCATTGTTGTAACTGATTTCTCAAAAGCTTTCGACTTAGTCAATCACAATATCGCAATAAATAAACTCTTCACAATGGGTGCTCGACCATCCCTGCTGTCATGGATCAGTAGCTTTCTTCATGGACGAGAACAGATGACAAGATACAACGGAGTACTTTCATCTTCCCTTACTCCAGTTGGAGGTGTACCCCAGGGTACTCGCCTTGGGCCAGCAATTTTCCTAGCGTTGATTAATGACGCATTGACAGACGCAGCAGGTATATCCAGATGGAAATACGTCGATGACATAACCTTCGCAGAAAGCCGCAGACGAGGGTCATGCAACATGATGCCCTCCACCTTAACGCTGTTCCATCAATGGTGTTTGGATAACGGTCTTCGCATCAACTCGTCAAAGTGCAAATCGATGAGAGTGTCCTTCTCACGGACCGAACTTCCACCTTTGCATCTTGAGCTAGATGATACAACTCTGCAGGAAGTGAAAGAGCTCAAGCTTTTGGGTGTCATACTGCAGCATAACCTACGTTGGGACAGCCACGTTCGTGATATCACAGGAAGGGCATCGCGAAAATTCTACATTATTCGGGCCCTAAAGCGTTATCGCGCCCCTGTGGAAGATCTCCTCATAATTTACACGTGCTACATTCGACCTGTGCTTGAGTACTGTGTTCCAGTTTGGAATTCATCCATTACATCTGAACAGGCCAATGATATCGAGAGAGTCCAGAGGAGAGCCCTCCGTATCATTTTTCATGATCGATACCGCAGCTATGAACATGCCCTCCAGATTTCAGGTCTGCAATCCCTCTCTGACAGAAGGGAACATCTGTGCCTAAGGTTCGCAGAATCGCTCTACAAGCACTTTCGCGACTGGCTTCCAGAGATGCAGAGCACGAATCGACGATTGAGACACAGTGATAGATTGAGAGACTTTAAATGCCGAACAGAAAGACTAAGACACAGCACTCTTCCTTACTTGGTAAGGACTCTGAACGAACATTTTTTCTGATGCCAATTATTTTGTATGCCTGATATTCACTTTGTTGTAATATAAAATGTAATACACTCCTTGTGGGGAGTATTTGCCAGTAATTGTGCAATAGGTATTTAATCATTGAATTTTTATATCAATATTTTCAATTATTTCATATCTAATTGTGATTTAAAATGTATATTAATAGCATTGAATTTTAAAGAACGAGTAATACTGGAATATTAATGAATTAACACCGAACACCTAGTACTTAGCCAATAGGTATTTAATCATTGAATTTTTAAATCAATTTTTTCAATTATTTCATATTCAATTGTGATTTAAAATGTATAGTAATAGCATTGAATTTTAAAGAACGAGTAATACTTGAATATTAATGAATTCACACCGAACACCTATTATTTAGCCAGTGCAATATGTTTATTTTAATTTTTTTTATTATCAACAAATTTCAATATTCTTCGCGAATTTGCAATGTAATTCACTTTATTTCTTAATCCATCATGAAATCCAATTTCAAGATTTCCAATATGTTTTACCAATGACAAAAAATCAACCCTTCGGCATGCCATATTCGTAATAGTAATGGTTTTAATGATTAATTTCAATAGTATATTTTTAGGATGTTTCAGTTAAGAATTTCATGCTTATTAATTGAAATTAATGATAGTTGCCATAATAATTGTCATTTGATCACTTTTATTTGTATTTCAATGTTGATTGCCTAGACAGTTTTAATATATTATTGTATAATTGCTTTTATCATGTATATACATTGTAAACTTTTGTAACCATTGCAATTCAGTCTTTGGACTGCGAGAATGGATAATTATCAATAAAAATCCTTCAATCAGTAAGGTGAGAGGTTAGAAAATCGTTGTACATGTATTTCGATGATTAATTTTTCTCTACTTTTCAACTAAGTTCCTGACCATGTATTTGTTTTTCAGAGACGTTTCCATTTCATTACAACAATGTAGCATTACTAGAAAGATATTTGTTGTTGCCAACTCTACGAACAATTTGTTATGAGTAAAATTGCTGTATTTTTTTTTTTAATTGTTAATTCACTTTCATTTAATTTTCTGGACCCCAAGGAAGAACAGTTTTGTAATATTAACAAAGTTGAGTGGGCTATTCAGCCATTTACTATATTCTTGAATTCATATGTACTTTTCTATTTTGTTTGTATTTATTTTTATTTTGTGATTTTGAAAATAAATACCAAACCATACGCAACCACGCCATGTCACATTCTCAAGAAACATAAATCGGGACAAATCGAAATTTCACATACTAAAAATAAAGTACAACAATTGTGAAGTATATGAATAATCTAGTTGTAAACTGTATCGCCAACTTATGTTTTCGTTTATTCTAACAGTTTGAACCAATGAATTCGCACCACGAGGAATTTGTTTCATCTCTGACTCCATTTTGGAGTAGGCCTACATATTTATATTTTTATTGCTGTCTGAATAATTCGCTTTCAACCTCTCATCCTATCATAAGTGCATGTCCCGAACTTAGGAAAAATAACCAATAAAGCTTTAAGAAGGCATTAAATGATTTTGTCACATTTTGGACACGTATTAAGAACAATTTTAGTCCGTTGACCGTACAATTTAAGTTTATTAATTCACCTGTTCATTTATCGTAGGCTAATGTCTAGTTAAATTTCCCTTTCAAAGTTCTGGTAGAAAATAAATGAACAAATCAGTATCTCAAAGAAACCCTTTCATCTTAATATAATCGCCTATTTATATCAGATTTCCGAGGTCGCATCTGATTTGGGATTAAGTGATGCCCTATCTGAAACGGATACCTATGACGTCACTACTGCTGACCTGGATCGCGTCATTTCGATACCGATGCAGATTCCTAGGGTGTGGCACTTTGAGCCTGGTCAACTCACCACCCAAATCACGCAGCACAAACTCGACCTCGTGACTAAGAGAATCCGGGTAAGGCTTTAAAAAAAAAATACTTTGAAAAGTGCTTTAGTGTTGATAGAGGGATGGCAAGTGAAGAAGGGCTCTCTTAAACAGTGGCTTAGATATAATCATGTGGGAAGGGAAAATGACTAAAGGAATGGAGAGAAAGGATAGAAAGGGATATATAATAGTAGACAGATAGATGTATAGATAGAAAGAGAGAGAGAGAGAAAGATAGAGGAAAGATAGGGAGATCGGGATCGATTGCGATCGAGAGAGAGAAAGAGAGAGAGAGAGAGAGAAGAGAGAGAATTAAACGTTGCTTGTAAAGCATTAACCACCCAGCAAAAGTCTAGTCTGTGATCTACATTATCATAAGTTAACTTATACGGGTAGGCTACATCTACATAGGCCTGTATTTAAAAAATGGAAGTTAAGGAGGGGAGGGGGGGGGGGGTCACACCGACCCGTTCCACCTTTTAAGACCATGTAACTAGCACACCTAACAGACACAGATTCAAATATTGCCCGCTAAGACACATGGAAAACTGGAGAAAAAGAGTTATTGTTCTGTTGCTGTGTTTTGCTTGTCAGATATTTTTGTGTAATACATCCATGATCTGCACCTAATCGTGGATAATATTGTTGTTTTTGTGTCAACAAAGTTTTGAAAGAGTTCCCCCCCCCCCCTTCTCCCCACTCTCACAAAAACCTGGATCCGCTCTTGATAATTATATGTACCACTCCTGTGTACTTACCACAGGATTTAAATGACACACTTGGCTTGCAACCCTACGCTTGCGCCTCATCCATCCTGGTTATGATGGTGGACAAGCTCTCCAGGGCACAGCGCAGTGCAGTATGCCTTTACACCATCCTCGAGGCAGAGAGACGACAGGCCGAGGAAACCCAGGATGCATTGCAGGTAATGAATATTCATAACTATAAAACAAAATCGCACATCGATTGATTATGAGTCACAATAGGAATCACTTTCCTTTGGAGTTGGACTCACTCCAGCATTTCGTGAAATCCACCTCAAAGTAGTGTGTCGATAACTCTTTTGAGTGTGGATTTCTCTGTTTTGTTTTCTTCTAAAAGAGCACAGTTATATATTTTAGTTAGATTTTACTACCAATAATTGTGATTATATGATTAGCCCACACACGTTAACATCATTTAACCAAAAGGTGGGGAAAGCGAATTTAATTTAAAGTTTATACTAGAGCTTGAAATGTAGAAAGGGCATAAATTCTCTAACTATCGATGATTATGATTTTGTAGAAGCGAATCGAAGAGCTGGAAACTGGCCTGGAAGAAGAGCGACGGCAGGCTCAGTCTTCCAAGGATGCACAACAGGTAATTGATATTTGTTTAGCAATCGATTCTATATAATTTTAAATGCTTTTGCAATTATCTAGGAACACAAATGTTTTGTTCGTTTGTTTTTAAATTATTTATGTGTGGCTAGAATAAGAAAGTGTTGTTTGTTTGATTGTTTTCAGATTCCTAATCTGTGCCTCGTTATAGATAATAACTGTAAAATGAATAAAATCAGCTGACACAATAATTGTAACATTGATAATAAATACTGGGATAAGAAGATTGATCATCAACATTTAAATGGGGTAATATATTTTGGAATGTTCGGAGTATAATGTTGTTCAACTGCTCATCGTTATCCCACGGTTTCCGCTATGAACTTCTAGAAACACATTGATGAGCTGGAAAGCCGCTTGGAAGATGAGAAGCGTGCAAGCAGGCAAGCACAGGATGAACTTCTGGTAGGTTCTACTCCAATCCCTAAATATTTTACTTTTACGACATGTCAGAGATAGCAATTTTTCAAAGATGATGCATGGATAATCATACTGCTCCATAGGGTTTGAAGCTATAGTTGGTGCATGGAAACAAAAGGGTCCGGAAATACATTAGTTATTCATAACAACATAACAAATATTTAAAAAATGACAACAATAACAACAACATACTCTTTAAAAAACAAGTCAAATATCTTTACCATCTTTCGTATATCAAGTAAATCAGTGGATGACAAATCCTCCTGCTTTTCGATATAATACAGATTTTCAGGTGACAAGTGTTTCCAAAGATCATGTACTTTCTTGATATTTGACAAACTCCACGTATACTTTGTTCATACACACTTTCTGTTAATATTACGCAACCATGTTTTGCTATTGTGCTGCAAAGTCTTCATAATTTTATTACCTAACATAAAGCAGCTTGAGTATTAATTGTTCTTTATCTTGCATTATTTTTTGTTTTTTGTAGAGCCATCTTTCCAAAGACGTGCAGACATCAGGGACTCAAACGGAAAGTGAGATATCGGTCCCATCCTCAGCCAGCTCTGAGGAAATCTTCTATGACGCACTCTCCACCATCGATGACGACCAAGCACCAGATGTCTCTGAGGAGATCTTCTATGATGCCCTTACCACCATTGATGACAACCAATCAGGAGCTAGAACTAAGGAGATCTTCTATGACGCCCTCTCGACAAGCCCGATGAAGATTCCCCCAGTGTTCATTGACGCTGTTGGTGCACTAGAGTTTGATGAAGTGTAAGTACTAATGGTAAACAATTGAAATTTCCTGAATATGTTCAGCAGTGCGTTTTACCTGATCGAACCTCTCAGACCATTAGCCATTCTTTCTGATAGAGTTATAAGCCTACATGTAGATTATTTTGTATTGGAGTGTTTAATATCAAATTTCGGTTTAATGTATGATTTTACTCATAACTTTGTCTTTGTGTAGGAAACGATTTGTGCCCTGGTCATCTTTGAGGCTAGACAGGTTTTTGGACAAGGTTATCGAAATGTCAAACAGTGACCTCGATGCAGCAAAGGCTACTCCAAAGTCCAAAGGCAAGGCTAAAGCTGGCACCATCGTGACACGCATGCGTGACCTTGTTCCATTTCGTGAGCCGAATGGTTCAATCGAACTTGGAAGTGGAACTGCCGGGACCGTCTATCTTTTCCGCCACGCCAAGACCAATGAGCCAGTGGCCCTCAAGGTCATCGCTCTTCCTCCTTGGAGCGATGACGACAGTAAGAAATCTGCAATCGAGAAGCTCCAGAATGAAATGAAAATCCTCCAGAGGTTGGGATGCATGGAGTGGTTCCCGGAGTTCTATGGATGCTGCAAGGTTCGTAAGGACGTGGTCGGCATTGCTATGGAGTTCTGCGGGGATGTAGAAAAAGGCGAGAGCTATTCAATCTTGAATTGCATAGATGGCAAGGGCCCCAAGCTGGACAAAGACGCCTGGATGAATGTCATGTTGGATTTAGCAGATGGACTCACAGTGATGCACAAGAAGGGCTTCTTGTGCAATGATCTCAAGGAGGATAATGTGCTCCTGGTGAAGTCTGGAGAAGAGTGGCGAGCTAAGATCATTGATTTCGGATGGTCCAGCGATATGAACATGCTCTTCCCAGCCTGGATGCCCTTCACAGCCAGGCAAAAGCATGACTACAAGTATAGTCAGGCATACAACTACATTGCTCCTGAGTGTGCTCTCAAAGGAAAGGGTTTCTCCGAAAGCAGTGACATTTATTCCTTGGGAAGACTTGCAGCCTTCGTTGGCCAGGAGATTCCCGGTCTGAAAGAACTTGGGGACTATGGTTTCAACATCTACTCCTGCGCCCGAGGGAAGAGGCCATCACTTCAGGAGTTCAGCCAGGAGATTAGCTATCTGAGATCTCGTTCCAATGAGAGTGATTCAGACGAAGACCTTGTATGAACGACCAGTGGAAAGACGCCCGTGGAGGAAAGGGCTGAGACCTATCTTGAGAGTAACATTATAGCCCACTGTTCGACACCGCTGTACAGAGAGAAAACCAACCCTTTCCCACAGTTTACATCACTTACAGGTGAATGATTTTTACAAAATATTCCTGAACTTCAAGCATTGAAAAGATTTGATGAATAATAGTCCAAAACATTTCGTGTAATGTATTACTTTGATCAATACCGTCATTCTTCTGTCACGTTGCAACAATAAAATATGTTCTAGACTTTGGCAAATTTTGAAAACGTATTGATTGGGAATAATGCGTTTCAAATCGGTGATATTGTCTTTAATCTGATATGTTTCTCTCAGAAGCACCCAGATGAGCTGGAATAGCAGGCGACCGCATTCATTTCCAGCGTGTGGTCTGACAGGGCAGTACTAAGCATTGCATAAAGAGTAAGTCTACTTCTTCAGAAGACTCGCCGAGATTCCTAGCAAGGAGATAGCCGGTCTGAAGGATCTTAGGGATCAAGGCTTCTGTATACTGTATCTATATGAGCCACCCAGTGAAGAGGACATCCCTTCAGAAGTTAAGGGAGGAGATCATTCACCTCAGCTATGGTACAAATGAGAATGATTTTGGCAAACATTTTGTTTGAATGATTCAAATCTTAGGAATCCATTGATGGTATAAACCCTGAAGCAATGCACAACCAAATAGGATTTCGTTCCCTATGTGTATTATTCTAGCATACATTATTTTGCTTAATTGTGTATGGTTTGGTGATGTATGATTTATTTCGATTTGCAATGTGGTAAAGCTTTCAGTTTTCACTAACTTGTTTTGATCTCATCACATTTTATATACCCATTGCTGTTTCGTTTTGAATTTTGAAATTCTTTGTTTGTATAAAAACTTGAATGATCTTTATGTCCCCCTTTCTATGTAATAATTTGAAATTGATATTTCAAAATAATATTTCGTTTAAACTATTCTTTTTTATGTAGTTTATGATTGCTTGAAAGAAGAGGTGGAAAACCTTTGCCCTTTGAACTTCGACATCTACATTGTAGATGAAGCTAGAGGTCATCAAGGAGCACACTGGGTGCCAGCTATGGGCATTGGCAGTACAGCGCGGTACCTGAACCTACCTTAACAGTGGAGTAGCTTGACAGCACTCCACAAACCAAGAGACGGCAAGCTCATTCATCACAATATGCATTCAAGGTGACTAATACTTTTGTAAAAGTATTAAAATGATGCTTTAATATTTATAATGCTTTAAATCGGTTATGAAAAAGTTTAGGTGATATATATTGATGTCCGTCATATTCCCTAGGTCATCTATCACATGAAGCAAAAAAATCATCACCAAGTTGCATTACATAATTAAAGCAAACCTCGGATGTTTACTATTACCTAATGTCACATGTGTTATGCAATAATTATGTCCTTATTCATCATTTACAGAAATGACGTGAAAGGTATTTTTTCGGGGGGGGGGAGGCTTGCAGAAATCAAGAGACTGCGTATCTTCAAAGTGGGCTTGAGAGGTCGGCCCTTCTCCGTAAGTGACTAAAGTCTACTTCTTCAGAAGACTCGCGGCATTTCTTAGCAAGGAGATGGCCCGTCTGGAATATTATAAGGAATCCCAGGGGCTCGATGCCCGCGGATATTGAAGACATAAAGACCGGAAGACAACCAACTCAGCCTAGCACTATGCACTATTTAAAGGTGAATAATAATTTTTGCAGAATATTTATGTTTGACAAGCGCTAAATTGGCGTGAGGCCTGATGCCACTTGACACTTGTTATCTGTGTTGTCCTTTTACATACATGTACATGTACACTACATGTACAGACATATTTCACAGTAATATAATTTATGATGACATTACCTGATTAAATAATGTACATGCATACAAATTGGAAATGAAGTGTTGGGTATAATCACCACCTATCTGTTATCTGTTTTTTTCCTTCTTCATCAGAAACACAATGATGAGCTAGGGATTGCATCTCCATATACCAAACATGAAAGAATCATTTTCAGCAAGGAAACATCACTTATCTGTTACTGATGGCAGTTATTCAGAAGATTATAGATTATGGATTGTAGATGCTTAGAGCTGTCATCAAGGTCCAATGCCTGCTAATGTGACAGACAGGAGTAATCTATAATTAATATTGGCTGCAAACTACCATGACAGCATGTCTGGAAGTATACACCGGAAAGCAGAGATAACAACGCCGCTCTTCTGAGTATAACAGGTGATTTCATAATACAGTAATGCAGTTTCTTGCATAATACTCGAAAAGGCATTGGAGTGTTTTCATATCTTTTTCACTGCTTGAGGTCATGATTTAAAAAAAAGCTTTGGTAATAAAAAAAAATAATACAAGCATTTTCAATGTTCAAATTTTCCTATTACAACAATGGAGCAACGCAAAAGGAAATAGAACAATGAAATTGTCAGAAATTCTGTGAAAAAACAGTCTTGTCTAATTCTTATCAATGTTCTTTATATTCACAGAGGAACATTCTAATGAAGGGTCCAAAAGGCAGTTTGCAAGGTAGAAGACGTGTAGGGAGTAGGCAGGAGAAAGCCACATAAACATCTCTTCAGAGTGTGCATGCTACGAATGAAGATTGATGATTAATTCTTCTGCATCTCCAATGGCAACCAAGGGAAGAGACCATTAATTACTGCAGAAACTCAACTAGAAAATCACTTAAACCAAATATGGTATTGATTAGAGTGATTTCAATGAAGATTCCTTTTGAAGGACCCCGGTATAGGTGTCGAGAAGAATCATCAAGGGCCAGTGTCCGCTGAAGGGACAACCAATTTAAACTAAGACATGAAAAAGAGGCAGCATATATTTGCGCAGTCTTCCACGTATGCACAACAGGTGATTTTTTATGTTTCTCGGAGAGTTTTTGATGGACGCTTTGTAGAATTTATGCCATATTTTTGTCAGAAACCTAATGATATATTTTGGAGAGTTTTGGCTGGTAACAATTATTCTTCACCTATTCCAAATTAATACAAAAACAACGACATTAAAGAAAGGTTGCCAATCGCAGTAATTTGAAAGTTTATCATCAGAAATATTACCGATTATCTTCTTCCTCTTTTGTACTGACTCTAACAAGATGCCGGCCGAAAAAGGAACGCCAATCAACTCTTGAACATACATGTACATTGTAAACTTCTTTGTTTTTAATTCTCGCAGAGAGCGACAAAACACATGCCACAGTATGGCGCAGAGCAATATTAAAATAATTATTGTTTTAAAATGTTTATTGTAACTGCTTTGTTTAATGTACTTTCACTTAAGTTTTAGATAATTTGTTTACCGAGTGTCATGAGCACCATACCTTCCGGATACCGGCGCTACATAAATAGTCATTATTATTATTATTATAAATAATGATATGTTGGCATCAAGGATAACAATCTTGTCTAATTTTTATTCATGTTCTTTGTTTTTCACTTAGAAACACACTGATGTTCAGGTTCAAGTTCAAGTTTAAGTTTAAGTTTTATACTGAAAGAAAGCTGTTTGTAAGATAAATGCAGACGACGAGTGTCCGCCGATGGGACAGACAGGAGTTATCTATATTGGCTGCAAACGACCATAACAGCCTGTCTGGAAGTGGTTTACCCACCGGGAACCAGAGATAATAAAGTCACTCTTCTGAGCATATCAGGTGATTATTTTTCTTGCGAAATTCCCGAAAAGGCTTCATACTTTTGTCACTGTCTGAGATCAGTGATTAAAAAAGCATTTGTACTCTTATAACAAAAACACATTTACACTGTCGTATTGTCACTATTTACCTATCCCTACCCCCCCCCCACCCCCAGATAAAAATAGAAAGAAGATAAAACCAAAAACAACAGCAATCAAACAGTAGAGCAAGGCGTTACGTAATTTAACACTGCAAATGAAGTGATTTTGGTAAATTAATATTCTTTGCTTTTGTTTCCATAATAATTTTTTTATCTATTTTCTCGTAGAAACGAAACGATGCAGAGGTTGTTTGGAAGACAAGAGCGTGTGTAGCGGTATAGAAAAGAGAAATGTGCATCTTCCTGAGGACCAGGGATTAACAGCTACTGCATCTACAACCCAGTGCCTTCACCTCAGAAGTCCAGGAGATTACTTACCTGAGATACGGGACAAACGAGAGAGGCGTCGACGAAAAAGTCCGGGAAATCACTAAATAATATATGGGACTAACGGGAATGGTTGTTTGACAAAGAAATCAAGGAGATCACTGCCTGAGATATGGGACTAACGAGAGTGGTGTCAACAAAGAAGTCTGGGAGATCGCTACCTGAGCTATGGGACCAACGACAGTGTGGTGTCGACAAAGAAGTCTAGGAGATCACTACCTGAGATAGGAGACCAACGAGAGAGGTGTCGACGAATAAGTCCAGAAAATTACTACCTGGAATATGGGACTAACGAGAGTGGTGTCGACGAAGAAGTCCAAGAGATCACTAACTGAGACATGAGACCAACGAGAGTGGTGTCGACAAAGAATTGCAGGAGATCACTTACCAGAGAGGTGGGACAAACGAGAGAGATTTTTTGACAAAGAATTTCAGAAGATCACTAACTGAGATGTAGGTCAAACGAGAGTGGTGTCGACAAAGAAGTCCAGGAGATCGCTAACTGAGATATGGGGCTAACGAGAGTCGAGTCGACGAATAAGTCTAGGAGATCACTTACCATAGATGTGGGACAAACGAAAGTGGTGTCGACAAAGAAGTCCAGGATATCACTTAATTTGGATATCGGACCAACGGGAGTGGTGTCGACGAAGAAGTCCAGAAGATCATAAACTGACATAGGAGACCAACGAGAGTGATGTCGGCAACAAAATCCATGAGATCACAACCTGAGATATGGGACTAACGAGAGTGGTTGTTTGACAAAGAATTCCAGAAGATCACTAACTGAGATGTAGGTCAAACGAGAGTGGTGCCGACGAAGAAATCCAGGTGATCAATTACCT